AAGAAATTTACATTCCAAATAAGTAACGTAAATCGAGACCTTATTTGATAAGTGAGATTTTTACAGTTTACAAGCAAAAAGTGAAACCTTTTCTGAATCGAGACCTTAGATTGACAAAAAAGAGTGACGCATAAGCCAAGACCCCTTTTTTTTTCCATCCATCCATCCATTTTCTTCCGCTTATCTGGGGTCGGGTCGCGGGGGTAGCAGCCTAAGTAGGGAGGCCCAGACTTCCCTCTCCCAGCCACTTGGGCCAGCTCTCCCGGGGGAATTCCGAGGCGTTCCCAGGCCCGCCGAGAAACATAGTCCCTCCAGCGTGTCCTGGGTCTTCTTCTGGGTCTCCTCCCAGTGGGGCGTGTCCGGAACACCTCACCAGGGAGGCGTCCAGAAGGCATCCTAAACAGATGACCAAGCCACCTCACCTCTTTCTTTTTTAAAGAAAGAAAAAGAAAAAACGGTGAGGCCCTGTCAAGAAACTCTACAAACTTGGAGTGAGACTGAGAAGCCGGCGTTATTCTAAAAATTTAAGACACGTGCAAAACTTCTGTCTGTCTATGCGTGTATGTTTTAGGAGGACAAGCTGATTCTGTAAAAAATCCTTGACTGTGCTAACAGACGGGACCCGAAGCAGGTTTGCTTACAACCTCCATTAAATTGTTGTTTAGGTTAAGTGATCTTTTGGATCTAAAAAACGAAAACTGCAGCTTTGTTTGTCAGACAAAGATAATACCCACAAAAGCATAGGAAAAGCGCTAAAATACTTTTGTTTTTTTCGTCTGTAAGTTTACTGATCATTATGATTTTATTGATAACTGGTCACTATTTATGTTCCTGATTTTATAATGTTCTTTTTCTTCTCTTTATTTTGTTTTATTACATGTTAAAACCAGAGCTAAAGTCTAGTTGACTTTTATTTAGTTTTAAATAAAATCACAAAGTCAGTGTGAGAGCTGTTATCTGACTGCTGCGAGCTCTCTGTTTGGGAGAGCGCACACACGCACGCACACGCACACACACACACACACACCATCACACACACACACACACACACAAAGGCTAAAAGTGCCTCCTACCAAAGGAGTTATGGGGGTTCAACCGATCTCCTGGTTCGAAACTTGGGTTAGCTCTCCATCCTCAGCAATAGACAGGAACCTGGGCTGTGTGAAACAGACCTAATAATCATTAACCCTAGGTTTTATCAATATCAAAAACCATCATAAATATAAGTAATGCATGTACATATTTTATCATCATTACTATAGTAATATAAGTTCATAAAAGTGTATAAATAGAACCAAGCTCATTATTTGAGTACTCTTAAATATTCCTAATATTAAAGGTCCTAATATTGCTCCTTAGCATATAACATTTCACCATCTCAGTGTACCTTAAATTTAAATGCTTCAGTGTTAATACTAGAAGCTAGTTACTTGCAAGAGGCTTATTTATCATTATCCAGATCAATACAAATGCAGGTGTTCAGAAATAGTATAACACCATTAGTGACATTTAGGATAGAAAAGTATTGATGTTTGCCAATAATATTTTCTATATGCACATTCAAATAAATGTAGCAATATAGCACTGATTTAGCACAGAACCCAACCCAGTACAATAACCTGGAGGCTAATACTAGCCTACTAGCTCCATGAACAAACTCACCAGTTCCCACTTTTAGAATACAGTCAGCTGAAGTTTTTTTTCACAAAGACATCTAAAAGTTGAGAGGCATATCAGCCAGGAATGGCAACATAGGCATTAGATAAAAGCTAGTGCTAGCATGCTAGCTCCAGAAACAAAAAAAAACAAACAAACAAACAAACTCACCAGTTCCCACTTTAAGAATGCATAGTCAACTCAAGGTTTTTTCACAAACAGACATCTAAAAGTTGAGAGGTTTTCAGTCAGAAATGGCAAATAGGCATTAGATAAAGGGCTTTCAATGGCTTAAAGCCTACCTGCAGCCTGCCTGGTTGTGAGTGTCACCGCATGATCTGTTCCCAGACAACAACAAAAATCCTGTTCCAGGACCGGAAGCACGATCAGTACTGTTCGCATTCGACCGTGTGCCCGGGCGCAGCAGATCTGTGCCCAGAATCTTCCTATTTCTTGTAATGAAGAGGAGTTAACTGTAACAAGTACAATTTTTAATGAGAGTCTATGGGCAAGGTTCTTGCTCCCCCAGGGCCACTGGATGAGTCCAAAAGTTAATCAGTTGTCAATATCTACACTGATTGCTTCTGAAAAGTTTCATAAAATAATCCATCAAGTGGTACAAAATATATTTTGATCGAGGAACAAGTTGGCAGCAGAGGAGTAGAGGGTATTTAGCTTGGGCTTCTGCCAATACTGCTCGAAAAGTACCTTTCGAGAAGATATTCTCACTACAGTTTGACTCCCATCACCCTTTGGAGCACAAGTTAGGAGTCATCAGGACTCTGTACCACAGAGCAGACAGCGTCCCCACTAACTCAGGAGCCAGGAAGAAGGAGAAATCCCACACAAGACAGGCTCTAGAGCAATGTGGATATCCTAACTGGGCCTTCCTGGAAGCAGAGAAGAAACCCAAACAGGACTCCAGTCAGCCAACAGGTGAAAAGGAGGAACCCAGACCCAGACCAGTGGTCATTCCATATGTTGAGGGGGTATCAGAGAAACTGAGACGTTTATTTTCTAAACATAACGTCCCAGTGGCTTTTAAACCCCAAAATATAATAAAGCATGCATCAGGATACAATAAAGACTGGTTCATCCCAAAGATCCAGTCCCACGGCACAAACAGAGTAATATTGTGTATGTTGTTCAGTGTCAGGAGGGTGATCAGTCTTACATTGGGGAAACTAAACAGCCACTGGCCAAAAGGATGGCCCAGCACAGAAGATCAACATCATCAGGCCAGGATTCTGAGGTCTACACTCATCTCCAGGCCAGCGGTCACTCTTTCAGGGATGAAGATGTTCACATCCTGGATAGAGAGGAACGATGGTTTGAGAGAGGAGTAAAGGAGGCCATATTTGTGAAAAGAAACCATCCATCATTAAACAGGGGTGGAGCCTGCGTGATCAATTGTCCCCCTCTTACAATGCTGTTATTGCTAGTATCACTCAACCCTCTGTGAACAGTAAACAGCCATCAGGTGCTAATGATCCATTGTTAGGCTGATGGTCCTTCTTGAGCATGTGAGCAGCTGGTTTTGGTTGTCAGCAGCAAACTGGTTGATCCACCCTGAGAAGGTGCTATTTAAGAGACTGAGCTGAATACAGCACCTCAGACTGAGGAAGTCTCTCGGATGAAATACGAAACGTTTCTACTTTTTTTTTTTTTTTTTTTTTTTTTTGTTTTCTTGTTTTTTGAATGTCTAGAGGACCAGATTGAACATTTTTGGATTTTTCTACCTGGATTATTGAGCATATATCAGGATATATTCTCACTACCTTTAAGTTGAATGCTCAAATATTCAACATTGTTGTGTGATTGACTTGGCAAAGCTGAAAAATGGTGACAAAATTGATGAAATATATGTATATGGGGCCTGTGGCTGCTGGGCCCAACACTACCTTGTGCTATAGTACTTCTAAAGCCTCAGCTCGAAGTACTCAGCTCTGCCCTCACCAGGTCCCAGAGAGATGGATGTGTTGGTCCTGAAGTCAGACATTCTGGCTTCAATAAAAGTGCTTTAAATCTTTAAAATCAATTATAAAATGGAAGGGGAATGTATATTTTGTTTAATAGTATAAGGCATAACAGAAGCCAATGGAGATAAAATAAAACCGGCGTGATGTGCTCACGTCTGTGGGTGGTGGTTAAAAGATGGGCTGCAGGATTTTGGACCAGTTGAAGATGTCTAATGGAGGTTTGGGAGATACCTGCATACAGAGCATTGCAGCAATCGAGCCTTGAGCTAATAAAAGCATGAATGTATTTTTCCAGGTCAGGACGATTAAAAAAAACAAATTTAACTTTGGTTAAAAGACGTAACCGATAAAAGTTGGCCTTTCCTACAGAGACTAAATGTTTGTTGACCTTCAAAATCCTTGTCAAAGGTCACAACCAAGTTTTTTAACTGTGGGTGTGAACTTGGATGTCAATGCACCAAAGTTACAGGGAGCATTAAAAAAATACATTCCATCTTTCACTCATTTAAAAACACAAATATTTGCTGACACCATTGTTTAATGTCAGCAGTACAATCAAAGAAAAAAATGAGGATCACTAGTTTTAGTCTTCCTAGGAAAATAAATTTTGTCAGCATGGCAGCGAAAAGAAAAGTGACTGGCTGTAACTGATCCAAGTTGCAGCAAATAAAGAGAGAAAAGGAGAGTACCGAGAATAGAGCCTTGCAGCACACCATGAGAAAGAGGGGCAGTAGAGGAAGACAGAATATCCATCATGGCAGAGAGAGCTCTGTTGGTCAAGTAGGAGGTGAACCACTTGAGAACTGAACCAGATATGTCTAAAAAAGTTAATTCTGGTCCTCTGGACATTCAAAACATAAAACAAAGCTAATAAAAAAAATGTAGAAACGTTTCGTCTTTCATCCGAAAGACTTCCTCAGTCTGAGGCGCTGTATTCAGCTCAGTTTGCTGCTGATAACCAAAACCAGTTGTCAGCAGCAAACTGGTTGATCCACTCTGAGAAGGTGCTATTTATAAGACTGAGCTGAATACAGCACCTCAGACTGAGGAAGTCTTTCAGATGAGAGACGAAACGTTTTTACGTTTTTTTTTTGTTTGTTTTTCTTTGTTTTGTTTTTTGAAAGTCCAGAGGACCAGATTTAACTTTTTTAGATTTTTCTACCTGGATTATTGAGCATGCATCAGGATATGAACCAGATATGGTTGAATTCATCTGAGTTCACTAGCTGTAGCAACCACTGCAGAGGGAGCAGTCAAAAGAAACTTCTACTACTACAACTACAATCATATTTAATTATCTTACTGTACAATAAAACATCACTTTAGATAAGCCAGTCTCAAATTAATAATTCACAGCCTACTTACATCTTTGCAGTTCTCAGACTTGGAGAAGTGGACCAGATCATCATTATACTCTTCTTGAGTGCTGAGAAGGTCACTATATTTCTTCTGAGTCAGGTCATCAGGGTTTATACCATTTGCTTGTAAAAATTCTTGGTATGCCACACTGAAGGCTTGCCCAATGGACTGGGCAATCAACTGGGCCTAAAGAAATTGACAAACTTAAAATTTATGAAACAATCAGCACAAGTAAGATTGGACATGACACACAATTGGCTGATTGATGGAATAGCTACATGATTGGCATGGAATTTTGATTTAAAATACATTGTTTTAAATTATTTTGCACCTGCTGCAGAAAAAGCTTCCTCCTCAATGTGTGTGCAGTAGAGCTGTCATTTCTAACCCGGGCCCACTGCCTACTGCCCAGCCTGGCGCAACCCGAAATTCGGGCCAGTCCAAGATAATGTGCTGGATGTTTTCGGGCTTTTGATTGCATCAGCAGACGCATGCAACTGATGATCCAATTTGGATCACAAACTGCGCTCGACAGTTTGACCCTGTACTGACTGGTCGGTTGAAAGGGTAAAAAACGTCAAGATGGCTCACTGCCAGCGATCCCACCTGAAGCTTAACTGGACTTAGCCGTTGCGTCAGCGGATGCACACACAGACGACAACCCAATTTGGATCATCAGCCACACGCATCTGCCAAGAGTTAATAACTATAATATCTATAATATTATAATAACTATAATAATCCATTGACTATTGTTAATAAACAATAAATTCATTCAACCTTTATTTAAACAGATAAATCACATTGAGCCTCGAAGACTCATTTACAAGTGAGACCTGTTTGGACAGACAAAAACAGTGGTTAACTGGACACATGTAGGAGTTGGAGGCTGTAAGGATGGTACCTTTTTGTGGCCCGGTTTGTGTCTGTGTTCCCTAGTGCTCTCTCGTTAGTTCAATTAGTGCCACCCTTGTCTCGTCCCAGCTGTTCGTAATCACGTCTCGTCTTGTCCCTATATATAGGCCGTCTGTCAGTCTTGTTCGTTGTCGCGTCGTACTCGTTGGGTCTCCTGTGTTCCCCTGAGTCTTCCAAGTTCCCTGAGTCTTCCGAGTTCCCTGAGTCTTCTGAGTCCCCTGAGTCCTCCTGAGTTTCCCGTGCCTTATCTTCCTGTTCATGTAAGTTTTGCTGCCCCGTCAGCCTGTTATTTTGTATCTTTATTTTATCATTAAATACCTATTTTTGTATTCTGCTGAGTTGAGTCCCTGTCTGCACTACTGGGTTCGCTCCTGCCTAGAAAATCCTGACATTACGACGCGACCAAACCAGAACCCAGCGGGCTGGGTCTCTCTCGGCAAACTCACCTTTTTTCTTTTTCCTCCACGAGCCATAGATGGACGAGCTCCACTCGGTCCCTGTCCTGCTGCCGTCCCACTGCTGCCGTAGTGGCAGAAAATGGTTCCGGAGGTAGTCCGCGGCGACCGGCCCGGTCTCGTCGGCTGAGCAGAATTTTAGAGCTGGTTCCGGTGTTTCTGTGGGAGCGGGATCCGCTGCCTCACCTCCCAGGTTTCCGGTGGGGGCGAGATCCAACATCCCGCGGGAGCTCCGGTCCACTCCTGTTCGGTTCAGTGAGTCCAGTCCACTTGACGCCACAGGGGCGGGTTCCGTCGCCTCACCTTCCAGGTTCCTGGTGGGGGCGGAATCCGGCCTCTCACCGGCACACCACGCTGCGGCTGTCCGACCCAGCCTGACCGTACCTCCCTAGCGTATTCCCAGTGACTCCGTGGGGGCGTGTTCCGCCGCCTCACCTTCCAAGTTTCCGGTGGGGTGGCACCCGTCACCACACCCCCACATAGAGACATTCCCTTCTTATTCTCATTTTCACCCAAAGAATTTATGCAAATAAACCAAACTTTACTAGAGTTATTCCATTCAGCTAAAGCTAACCCGGCTTCCTTCGACATTGTGTTGTCCCAGATGGAGGATTATTTATTATCTATTCCTGGTCTTGCACGGCTTCCTGAGTACAATCTATTACTAACAAAGATAGGGACTTTAAAAACCCCTGTAGTCACTGCCATCTCGGAACCCACGCTGCACTCAGCCCCCGAGGTGGTTCCCATGCTGCATGCAGCCCCCGAGGTGGATCCCACGCTGCACGCAGCCCCCGAGATGGATCCCACGCTGCACGCAGCCCCCAAGGTGGATCCCACGCTGCATGCAGCCCCCAAGGTGGATCCCACGTTGCATGCAACCCCCGAGGTGGATCCCACGCTGCACGCAGCTCCGGAGGTGGATCCCATGCTGCACGCAACCCCCGAGGTGGATCCCACGCTGCACGCAGTCCCCGAGGTGGATCCCACGCTGCACGCAGCCCCCGAGGTGGATCCTCACCTCTCCTGCTCCGAGGTGGTCCCGTCAGACGCTCCTCACCTCTCCTGCTCCGAGGGGTCCCGTCAGATGCTCTTCACTTCTCCTGCTCCGAGGGGTCCAGACAGACGCTCCTCACCTCTCCTGTTCCGAGGGGGTCCAGACAGACGCTCCTCACCTCTCCTGTTCTGAGGGGGTCACGTTGGATGCTCCTCACCTCTCCTGTTCCGAGGGGGTCCAGGAGGATCCTGTTCCTGCCGCAGAAGACTCCGTTCCTGCCGCAGAAGATTATGTTCCTGTTCCTGCTGCAGAATGCTCCGTTCCTGCCGCAGAATATTCTGATCCTGTTCCTGCCACAGAAGACTCCGTTCCAGCCGCAGAAGATTCTGTTCCTGTTCCTGCCGCAGAAGACTCCGTTCCTGCCGCAGAAGACTCCGTTCCTGCCGCAGAAGATTCTGTTCCTGTTCCTGCTGCAGAAGACTCTGTTCCTGCCGCAGAAGATTCTGTTCCTGTTCCTGCCGCAGAAGACTCCGTTCCTGCTGCAGAAGACTCCGTTCCTGCCGCAGAAGATTCTGTTCCTGTTCCTGCCGCAGAAGATTCTGTTCCTGTTCCTGCCGCAGAAGTTCCTGTTCCTGTTTCCGTTCCTGCCACAGAAGATTCCTTTCCCGTTCCTGCCGCAGAAAACTCTGTTCCTGCCACAGAAGATTCAGTTCCCGTTCCTGCCGCAGAGCCCCTGGCCTCTCCGTCGTCTGCTACAGAGCTCCAGGCCTCTCCGTCGTCTGCTGCAGAGCTCCAGGCTTCTCCGTCGTCTGCTGCAGCGCTCCAGGCCTCTCCGTCGTCTGCTGCAGCGCTCCAGGCCTCTCCGTCGTCTGCTGCAGC